CCGGGGGGGGGGGGGGGAGATGAGGCCTTGGAGGACGGATCGGATGTCAAACGTAGGGCTTGTACTCTTGTGTATACTTGGAACGTGTGCAACTTACCCACCGCACAGAAACGCCCACGTGCGAGTTCATGAACACCGCAGCTCTCGGCAGCATCCGCATCAGCATCGATCCAACCCATGCACCTCGATTGTGCACCACAGCTTGACCGCGTCGAAAGCGGACCCTCTCAACAGACCCCGCCAATCGCTGGACCTCCCCCCCCCCCTCCTCAGAGAAAAAAAAAAAAAAACTTTACGACGACAACGTACCTCTTCCTGGATGAACGCAGGCAGCGACGCCAGCAAGGCCTTACTCCAGACCGTGAGTCGCTCCTGCACCTCCTCCCTGGACAGGGTGTTGGACGACGACTCGGGCCCGGCGTGCTCCACGTACAGGGCGTCGATCTCCTCGATCAGCACCTCCATCTCGGGGATGGCGGCAACGAGACCTTCGGGGATCTTTTAAAAAAACATTTCGTGTCGCATTTACGTTGGAACGACCCCACACAGACACACAAACGAGGAGAGAAAACGCAACGACAGGGTGGAAATTAGAAATTAGGCGGAATCCCGATAGAGAATAGAAAAAGGACTGCGATAGTCGTGGCCAACGCCCTTTTAAGGCTCGATCACCTCACTCCGATTTACGACACATGTTCGAACGAAAAGAGGCTCGTCCTGCTCGTTCTATCCCACCCCCATCTCGGAGAAGACGGTAGCTGTACTGGGGAGTAGGAAGTGGTTTGAAAAGGCGGGAAGTGATATCGTTAGGATAGAGAGACCAGGGAAGACATTTTTGGGACACCTTTGGCAAAGTAGGAAGGAACGATTGGCCATCGGTGATCGGTCCTGTGGGAACAACGCTCCGTCCTCTGGAGGAAGTGTGGTCAATGGTCCAACCGCTAAGGCATGGAAAACATAGGAGTACGCCCCCGCCCCCCCCATCTCTCTCGAGCATGATCCCGCTCTCTCCCTGAAACTCCCCACCTCTCATTCGAAAACCACGCACACCCTAGCACACAAGCACGCAGGCACGCGCGCGCGCACAGCTTACCACGATGGTGCCGAAGTTCTTGCCCTTGTCCGAGCGGGCCTGCACGACGTCCGAGATCTCCCGCACGATGTCCTGCAGCGACCAGCGCTTGGCCCTCACGTCTTCCGCAAGCAGTACCATGTTGGGGTGCGTCTGCATCGCCACCTCAAGCGCAATATGGCTGGGGTCCTGTTTTGCGCAAATATTTTTCGCGGTTGGACGTCGGCGGGGCGCCGTCAATGACGTCAAGTGTGTGTGTGTGTGGGGGGGGGGGGGGGGGGGGGGGG